TTTCAGTTTATTTTATTTCTATTCCTTTTCTTCCCGTTTTCGTTCCTCTTGTTGTCTTTCCTTTTCTACTCTTATTTTCATTTTTCCTTTACTTTCTTTTTTATTCCCTATCTTGATATTCCAGCTTATAAGAGAGATTACTTCAGCGACAACTATGAACTCACCCCAGGCCTAACGCTTCTCGCCAAGCTGCAGCAGCCCTGGAGGGAGTAACATTTTAGAGGGGGAGGGGAGAAAAAGATTTTTTTGTACAATCAGACATTTTGAAGATCGACAACATGCCACACGTACTGAACTTCAGTTCCTGAATCCAATTTACATGTTTAAACATACAACCAAAGAGGAAACGTTTCGACGTTCCTTTGACCTTGCACATTTTGTTGATTTTGAACGTAAATCAAGAGAATACAAACGATTAATGGAATAAAAGAACCTCAAATGTTAGTAAGTCTAGCAGTAACCTCAAGAAGATTAGTAATGACACGGGGAAAAAAGAAACGGCCACCACTACAAAAGGAATGGTAGGATCTCATTAGATTCAGTTCTATTGTGAATACATAATTATATCCCCTGGGGGTGACCATGGGGGTTGGGTTCTAGTTCTGCTGCTGCAAGTCGGCCCGGTAAATTCTAGACTAACAGGTTCTAGATCCACGGATTTATTAAAGATTTCCTATCTAAACTACAAATTTATTCAATACTGCTGTGATACTGCTCAGTCTCTTATTTTTATTCCAATAGTTATTTTAACACATTATCATAAATGGCTAGTTTCAAATCTGATTTATGACGTCGATTTGCACTCACCGCTTTGACAAAGAAATAACAGATCGACTATAATCCTCGAAAAGGGTTTGCGTTTTCCTCAATCGTTTTACATACACTTTTGTTACTTTTGTGAAATAAGGAATAAAAGCAACAAAAAAGAAAAGAAAGAAAAGAAAACGGTGACGATATATTCTGGCTACGTGTGGATATTACACCCTGCTGGTAAGATGAAAAATGGTGAACGACAACGCGAAACCGATCGACCAAAAATTTGCTAAAAAAAGGGAAAAAAACTCCTGAAAACCAACCAGCCTTAATCTGGCAACACGTCGTACTGGTTATGTTTGCACACGTGGATCAGCAATGTATTCGTTACAGTACTCAACACAGTATACAGGCGACGGTATTTCTTTTAAATATCTACATTATCTCATCCAGTAGCACAAAAATTTCCATCTCAACTCTTTGGTAAAATCGAATGAACGAGAAAGACGCGCACACACCATTGCTTCACTGAGTAAAAATATATACCTTATATATTCATTAATATACAGACTAGTCATTTCGTGGTTTATATTAATTACTCATATAGAACGCTGTTCCAAACGGGATATATTTAACGCTTGGTGGTTGTTTAAAATTGAGCAAAAGCAGATCAGTTATATTTTTCGAGGATATTTCTAGACAAAATATTTTAATTGCTTGGCGAATTGAAATAAAATCTGACCCCGAGGAAGGAGTTTCTTTAAGCAGATTAAATCTTCGTATTTCGCAATTATAAAAAAAATAACTCACTCCACACAAAAGGATGTATAAGAATAACTTGTGTCCAACACAGCGTCATTCTCAGTCAAGGTTGATTTTAAAACTAAACTAGAATAAAATAAATCTCTTTAATTCAGTGTCTAGTCTAGCGACACTAGGACACCTCTAGGGACAGCTTTTCCTCGCTACCACTACATTCAATACTGATTCTATGCACACAACACTCCAGACTCACACGTTGGTTTTTATCGCAGGGAGAAAAATTTTWAATCTGATTGATTTATGGTAAAAACACGGAGAAACAACTTTCATTATCACTATATTGTAAGAGTACTATGAACTCATGAACGCACGTGTGAACCGGCACGTCACATTAAGAGTACGGTTATCTGAACAAAATATAACGTTCAATACTTTTTAAATAATTTTCATATACCTTTTTCCCTTTGAATCGAAGGATAATGATATTTGTGCTCCAGTTTTGCTGAGAAAATGTTTCAATTTCCCTAGGCAGATGAAATAGTCGGTCTAGTCTGGCTGTGCCGGCTGAAGATGAATATTCTTGACAAAGCAAACCAATAGTATAAGCCTCGTTGTGAGCCTTATAAATTAGACACGACAATCCTATGACGTTATTCAACAGGAAACTTCGAACCACAAGTTTGTGGGTGTACGTGCAAGTATTTCGCGATATTGCTCTAATATTTTGACACGATCATTTGAAAAAAAATAATAACTTGGTGTCATTTTGGTGTCATGTTTAAATCAAAGCTACAAAGCGCTCGTTAAGCAAAGTGTCTGATAGAAAAACTCTCTTAAAAAGTCTTTTTATCTATTTGGTTAGTTTTAATAGACCCATGYTATTAGATGAAGCAAGTAGTCATTCACACAGTGATGTGAAAGTTAGAAAATTCACTAAGTGTGGCTCAACATTTCCATAGTAACCGTTTTAGTATCGTTGTGCAGCTGTCAGAAAGGACGTTGTTTGAAAGAGCGTTACCATGACAGCATACTTTCCTCTACTCTCAGTTGCTCCAAGGTTTATTGATAACCATGGTAACGAAATTTGGCAGGCACTGCTGTCAACTTTGAAGGACAGCTGGAACTGTTTGGAAGTGATGACATCATACTTGTGACTTTTCCTTGTGACCTCTAACTTCCAAATAGACACAAAAAGTCTGTCCAAATAAGTACATTGTTTATAAGAAAAGAAAAATTACATAGACTTCTCGTGATGGATTAGAACTTAGTGATCAAAGATGCTTATGGTATTGAGTATATGTTTACCGTCACGTCCCAAAACTTTACCCAAACCAAACTGAGGCACCACAAACGCAGACGCGACTCTGATAATATTCAATTAATAGCGACAATCATTGTCTGGAAAACAGTGGAATGTAAACACCGATGTCTGATTAAAACTGACAGACAATCAATTTCGTCCCTGCGGGGTAAGAATCTATACGGTTATCACGTTCTCTTGTCTCTTCTTTGTTCACCGGATCGATATAAAGTCTAGATAATTTTAATCAAACGACAGCACCTAAACTGAACTTAAAGTTCAAGTTCAACTTTTTGTAGCTCTTTTTTTTGGCAAACATCGTTAATCCCAGCTCTTATTTAGTTCGATTTTGTCATCATACGTGCATGCCCCTAACACCCTTGGACTATATCTTCTCTGATTGTCCTTGTTGAAACCAGTACTGCCAGTATTGTCCTGGCTGCCAGATTCTTATAATTAGTACCAGCTGGGCCAGTTGACTGTTATAGAAAAACCAGGGTCAACCAATCAATCAGATTCAAGAATTCTATCAAAAGATGAGGTTGAGCCACTGTATTTTTACACCCCTCCCCCCAGGCTAAGGGCCCTTGGGGTATGTATTGATCTTGAGTAGCCCCTCACAAGATATACCATTGTCCACCAGGGTAAAAGTCAACGCATGCAAAATTCGAGGTGAAGGAAAAAATGGACATCCTAAATATGTAAATATTTATACTATGGAAATGGAATAAAGATTATAATTACGAAAAAAAAATTTTCTATATATATATATAATCTATTATACTCTAATCATTTCTAATAAGTAAGTTTCCTAATAGTAGAAAAGGGCGTAGTGTACCTAATATCTAATAGTAGTAGGAAAAGCAGACGTACTCCAATTACAAGGGATCTAGTCTTGCTACAAAGAAACTTGTCCTTGTCTTATTAGAACGTTTGATGATTATTTCATCAAGCGATACGTAGCACTGATTAATATTAATAGTCTACTGAACAACGAAACTGGAATAGCCATACGTGCTAAACGATGTATAGAGGCTTTGCGCCGTCACGTGATGGCAGGCATGACAGGAGGCAGGAACAAAGTGAATCTGGTCTAATCTGATATTTACATGAAAAAGAATTCAGTTTCCCAGGGAAAAAAGACTGTATTGTTGTGCCCTCTGTCATGGCTGCCATCACGCTGGCGATGGTGCAAAGCCTTTATTGCAAGAGTTATGAAGCCATGGCAGGGAGATAAGCGATACGAGTTAAATAAAGCACGATTTTCGTGCATGTCATCACAGGATGTATACAACAATAACCGTGCTTTGACTTAGATCAACCCATTCGTTTCATTTGTTTCAATACAATTTAAAGGTATCTTAAGTACTTTCACACTCAAACTGAATCAGTGCTAGGAGGGTTGATTTTCTTTCATGATAAATACGTGTACAAATTTGCCTTGTCCTTAAATAAACTAATTCCTGTCAGCAACATTTGAACGCATTATCTTAGGCCTTCAAACATGTCAAGGAATACAATTTGCCTGCCATTGTCCGAGGTTTTTTGATAAATCATGCAACTCAATGACATCTTTTCCTTTGGACGTTCAGAATTTAGGAGCGTGCTTTGGGACATGACTTTATTGCGGATATAGCACTTATGGGGACATTTGGTGTCATGATAACTATGATATACATAGAGAATTTAAAATATTAAATRTATTTATCATGGATATTTTAGATAGGGCTAATGACTATGGTTGTCTCATATATTGATGTGCTTCGAGTCACGGCTGTGATCATAAAACAAAGTCAGGGATCTATATTTATGCTGTAAATGCTGCGGTCTTCGCTGTAAAGCCGATAAAGAAAACGTTTTTTGATCCGATCTGAGAGGAGAAATCGCGCGCGCCTTCCCATTCAACGTATATTAGCGGGTCTATTTTGACTAGAAAATAAAAGTCTTGAAATCTTACTGTCTTTCAGAAGATTTTTCTTTTAGGATAAATCTACCCTGGTTGAGCATTTCTTATAGAAATTAATAGCGCCAGGAACTCAAATGACGGACAACTATAAGTTTCGCATTCTATGGCTGTGGCAGACACTCAAGGGTCCTCAAGCCCAATTACTTAGTAAAAGAGCAAATGTACAAACTGTAGTCCTAATATTTTTGTTAGATTCGTGTGAAACTATTTTTTGAATTGTTTCCATACATACAGAAGTAGTACATATCCAAGTAGTTGCTTGCTCTCCTTGTTGCGCTGCTTTTGTGCTGATGCAACGCGGGGCCTACATGGTATGTTCAGATCATAATTTATATTTTTATATTTCTATTTCAGTTTCTAATGCGCGTGTGAGCATCTTCCCATGTAACACGCGCAATATAAGTATTAAATTATTATTATTATTATTATTAAATTATTATTATTATTAGTCTGCAGATTTGCAAACATACGTTTTTTCATACTTTTGGCCTACCACCAAAAGAACTATAACGATGAGAAATTGTCTCAAATATTGAATACAAGCGCCGGTTTGAGGCATTTTCTTAAACCATGTGTTTATTGTTCTTTCTATGTCTATCACATAGCACTGAATGGATGAATTCACAACGCCCCTAAGAAGTTGTTATATAGATGGCCCTTTAAGTAACAGGCACAGGAAAAAGACGGTAAACAAACCCAAATCATAGCCTATCTTTAAGCACTAACATGATTTATTATGATTATAAAATGAATAAAGAATAGGGTCCACATGCAGATCGTGGTGCCGTTTTTGCTCATATCCTGTCCGCTAGCCACAAAAATGACTAGAAGCATCGAAGAAGAACGAATATGCCCGGACGCGGGGCGTCCTACAGAGAGAAGAGAACGCCAAAACATTCTCAGTTCGCTTTCAAGGCATGTCATTTTGATCGTTATTTGTTTAAACCGTACGATGATAAGCTTGCAGTGAAACAAAGACAATTGCTTGTGGGTGACGAGTAAACTTCGAAAACGGGAAGTAACTGGCGAGGATCATGAGCCTACTGTAGACCCCTAAATTTCCATGTRCGCACGGCAAACTGTAGTGAAGAAACGGTGAGATCACTTAGAAAAAAGGCTGAAAAGATTTTAAATCGAGAAAGAAATGTCCGTTTTGTCGACTGGTCTTATTAATGGCATACATGCATGTGTCCTACAGAGTACAAGCCATTTCCTTTATTTTTTTTTTATGTCGCTTAATGGAGACACATAGCAGGAGGTTCCACGTTATCACCTCCACAGACACCATTATCGCTGAACGACACCCAACGATACGTGATCACAGAAACTGAACTTAAAACACATACAAATGTGAAGGCAAACAAGCTAAATTACAAAATAATGAGAGAAAATTTATTACTTCCTCGGTTTTTTCTTTCAGCTGTGATATTTTTAGGTAGTTTAAGGGCTGTATAGAACAAGACTTCCTAATTACGTTCAAATACTGTCGTAATTAAATAGGAAAACTAACTTGACACTTACTATTATCATCGTATATAATGAATGGTTCTGCTCGGCAAGGTAGGGTTCCAAATCCCCTATAGTAAATCCAGTTAAATTCAACGAGAACATCGATCTGAAGCATCACGTTTTGAAGAAAAACCACGTCATCCATCACCAACCACTTCAGGTCTTACTTTTAGTATTTTTGACAATTTGCTTAGCTTTTGGTAGGAAATTAAACAATATGGCTTTCAAAAATGCGTCCATAGTATATTTGAATTCAAATTTATATTCACTATTAGATACCGTTCCTGAGGCTTTCTCTTCAAAACAACAGGCACCTATTTCCGCTTCTTTCAATGACGATTGTTCAAGCCAAATTTTTATCATATTTATTTTCTAAGTGTGTAATTATCAAGAGGCTTTGACGATCTCTTTTTAGGCTGTTACCAGAGCAATATATTCGGATCTCGGCGGATTCAGTACTAACTTTCAGTAAAATCGTTATTGGATTTTCGTTTAAGTTTAACCAGTCAGTGTGGGAGGAATATATACGTATAGCTGCATTCTTTACTGGCTAAACAAGCTCGTGGACAACCAACACTTAAGGTCTCACCCACTCTTTTAAAATAACCTTTCCAACGCAGGCTAAAGTTCAAAACTTATTACGAAATTTCGAGAGAGATTCCTTTTTCAGTAAAGATGTAGTAATAATGTACAAGAAAAATAGTGGGGGCTTTCAAAACCTAGGGCTTTCCTTGTTGACTGCTCTTTTAACCTGGTATTTTTCCAAAAATATATATATAAAGACCACGTTCAGGAGCAACTTCTGAAACTACCCTAGAATATAATCTTTATATTATTATTTCTTATTTCAAACTGGTAGTCCTGGTAGATAGAATACGATATGATTAACACCTTTCATCATCATGATTTATAGTTGAAACATGGATGACCCAAACATGGATTATATTAAATATGATTTCAAAGTTCTAATAAACTTACCTGAATTTAGTTCGTGTTCTCGGACTGTCCCATCTGTTTGTTTAATATCTGTTATACTGTTAGCCGTTTCCATTTTGTCAAACTGCTATGCTCCTTCCATCATTAAGATTATCACAGACCAAATATAATTCGCTAAAATGGTTCCTTGCGTGGTCTAGTAACATACTAGTAATATGAATGGAAATCCACAGAGCTCATGAGGATACAAAAGATCAGGAGAATAATAAACTATCGTGATTAAACCTGAAATTACAATGAACAGCTCAGTCCAGTTCGGCCGTCATGGTAGTCCTCATTCATTTAAAACCGTAAAAACTTTACCGGCATCAAATTGGAAATTTTTAGCTAGAAGTATTTTAAATGTACTCCTTCTGGCAATGGTTAAAATATCTAGGATATAATGATGATGGTTCCCTATGGGGAAACGATGAACCTATTGCGAACTGAACCTATAAACACTGGTTAACTTATGCRAGACCTTGTACGTGATCTCATAGAAAACACCGCTGACCGCAGAACTGCAGATTGCAAACAAAAATCGTAAAGGTTTCTTTGGATTTAGCGAAAATTTACATGTTTTTAAAATTTTGGCTTAAAAATACAAGGAATTTAGATCTGTGGTTATAATTACGACTCTCTATCGACATCAAATTCTCAGAATTGGGAAGTTYGTTTGTGTGTTTTGACACTTGCCGAAATTAATTTATGCGCGTTGCTTGGACGGATCATACACAGTCACGTACCAGTTATCACTTTAGTCATTCAATCCAAATACAAATCTTCATTCTTATTTGTACAAATTGTTATTGTTTTTATATAACGTTTTATCGGAAACCAGTCCAGTACCAAGTTTTTCTTTGGACAATTCACCGTCGTTAATCCCGACCACCCCCACCAACACCGTATTTATTTTCTATTTTCTATTTTTTTCATTTCTATTTTTGTTCAGTTTGCCTC